AACACCAATCCTGTAGTTGTTCAAGTGTATGTCATGCTGCCAAATACTTTATTTCTAGGACTACTGACTGTTTGCTGGGACAGGTCAAGAAAGCCTTTACAGCATCAGTCCTTCCCAGAAATGCAATCAAGCTTATTTCACCTTAATTAAACCTGGTTTTGCATGCAGAGGTAGCCTCAACAGCTTGTGTGCTGCAGAAAGCTGCAGGATCCTTCTGGGTCCTCTAACAGCTGCCTGTTCTTTTCCTATCAGTGATGTATTTGCATTGCATGATCTGTGGCCTTGCTTCGCTCTCTTTCAAAGGTGATTGTATGTCCCACGAGGTGTAGGAATGCTGTTAATGTAGACAAGTTATCTCTGTTTCAGAGGAGCTGAGTTACTGAGTCTGCAATGGGCAGGCTGGCAGACATCTAAGTATTTCAGCAGCTCTTTGAAGCCGCACGTTTTGGGGCTTTCCCCCCCTCTCTTCATCCCCATTGTCACTTTTTGCTTACCCCATGGAGGATATTTGCTGGTTTCAGGAGGAATACCACCAAGTGCTATCCCAGCATGGAACTGCTGCAATCCTGAACCGCTCTCTTGGAGTTCCCAGGGCTGGATTCAATTGACGACAGGCTCTGCAGCCAACCCCCTTGGACTGCACATGTGTTTATTGCAATGGCAGTGGCCCACACAAGCTGAATGCCTATTAGCTGGAGTATGCACAAAATCCAGAGCACAGCTACAGTTCATATTTATTGTTCAAAGTACAGATCCCTTTATTGTTGTCATTTCAGTCCCCTTGTATTTATGGTATTATTCAGTCAGCTCTGAGAAGTTAACTAGCACTTTGCAGTGCTTCTTTACTGCAAGGGTATAATATCTGTCTATAATAAATATATAGGTAAGGGAATTGAAAGGGGGGGGAAAAAACCCACCCCAAACAAACCAGCAACAACACATTGCATGTGAAAACTTTACTAGGCAAATAAAACATTCCCTGCCAGAGCTGTGGAAAAAGCCATCAAGCTGGTAGCATCTGAAGTCAGTTAATGAGCAGGAGATGTGTGCTTCCACTCGGGTTTTTAATTGTTTGAGGGCTTTTTGTCCTTCTCCAGCATCTCTGTACCTCACTCTCTTTAAGGTTCCCATGCAGGCTTTGGATGTACTGATACAGGTTTAGGAAGGCTTCTTTAGGAAGGGCTGCTGGGAGCTGAGAACTTCCAAGGCATCTGGACTGGGTGCAAGCACCGCTCTTCTGCTGGTTGGACTTTGTGTATTATTCACATACAGAAACACTACTACTGCCTCCGGAGCTGTGCTAGGGAACTTGTACCAGGGGCTGTCTTGCTCGCTCATTAAAACACAGAACACAGGATGTATCAGGAGGAGGGATCATTTCTTCTTGAGGTTGTTGGTTTGAATCCTGTCCAGGCTGGTAGCAAGGGAAAGCTGCAAACCTCCAGTGGTTATTCAGTAAAGAAGCTGGTGGTCTTGTTCCAGTTCCTGGTGGTCAGGTGTGTGCATCACAGAAACCACCACTTCACTTGGCATCCACACTAAGAGCCGGAGCAGACAGACCCACCATTGAATGGACAGAGAAGGGCACTGAGCAGCCCTACATTAAGTCTTCAAGGCTGCTGCTGAGAGGGGCAAGCAAGACAGTGGGAGCCTGCTTTGTCCCATAAGGGGTAGCAAAGGAAACCCAACACCAAGTCTGAGTGCTGTGCTGGTTACATCAGACATTAATGTTGATGGGTAGGTTACCTTGCACAAATAAGGATGGTAGAAGAGCTGCAAGGCCATATCCTGCCATGAAGCTGTACTTGTGTGCTGTACAGATGTGTGTTAAAGGCTAAGGATGTTCATACTATTCAAGTGGTTTCCAAGCCTGTAGGATTTCTGTCTGAGGAGAAACCTCAGGTTAGAGTTTTGGGCTGTGACTTCTGAGGCAGTTTTGTACACAGTCAGGCCCTTAATGAACACAGCTGCCAAACTCAGGCACTCAAAACTGATGCATCCAAAAAGGATGCTCCTGGGAATGCAGCTTTTAAACATGTAAGAGCTCTTCATGACCTTCTTTCACAACAGCACACGAGACCACCTTCTTGCAGCAAGATCCATATAGAGAAGTGTGTCCGCAGTGATGCAGTCACATCCAAAGTATATTCTTGTCCCTGTGTTGGCCCCAGCTCCTTCCTCTGGTCTGATAATTGCAGTTCCTTTAGTTTTGTGACCTTGAAAACTCTTCTTTTGCCTTTTTCCTGGTAAAGATAATCTGTTCCAGTTTTATTTCTGGCTGAGTGTAGAGCACCAGCATCTAGGCCAAAACTCCCTGGCAAATCTGTGCCAGTCTGTATCAGGAAGAAGAGGATAATGATTACACCCAGGAGTTTTATCAGCCACAGCTGTTACTCTGTTCTTTGCAGTATCTGACCAAAATAAATAGCATCTGTAGCAGTGTGGGCAATTTAACAAGTAATCACCTCTGAAGCAGTCACATTTAACAAAAGCAAGGTGACAAAGTATTCTTAAGTTTCAGTGCTGGAGAGAAGTGGTTGGGGTTTGCTGGGCTCAGAAGAAAGTAGGAACCTAAGCAACATCCCACTTCTCCGCCAGTGTTCTACAGCCATACTCATTCATGCCTACATGCCTTACACAATATATGAGTTAGTTCATAAGTGTTTGCAATCACATAAGTTACTGCTTGCCCTTTGTTCACTTGCCCCTCTGCTCTGGTGAGACCCCCCCATTTCAGCACTGTGTGCAGTTCTGGTGTCCTCAGCATAAGAAGCACATGGAGCTGTTGGAGCAAGTCCAGAGGAGGCCACAAGGATGATCAGGGGCTGGAGCACCTCCTGTATGGAGACAGGCTGAGAACATTGGGGCTGTTCAGCCTGGAGAAGAGAAGCTGCATGGAGACCGCAGAGCAGCTTCCAGTGTCTGAAGGGGGGTACAAGGATGCTGGGGAGGGACTCTTCATCAGGGACTGCAGTGATAGGACAAGGGGTGATGGGTTCAAACTGAAACAGGGGAAGTTCAGGCTGGAGAAAAGGCAGAAGCTCTTCCCTGTGAGGGTGCTGAGGCACTGGCACAGGGTGCCCAGAGAAGCTGTGGCTGCCCCATCCCTGGCAGTGTTCAAGGCCAGGTTGGACACAGGGGCTTGGAGCACCCTGCTCTAGTGGAAGGTGTCCCTGCCTGTGGCAGGGGTTGGAACTGGATGAGCTTTAAGGTTCCTTCCCATCTAACCCATTCCAAGGTTCAGTTTTAGTTTCCACCTTATTGCTTTCATTCCATCCCTTTTGGCTAGTCCATGACATCATGGGGTTTCTTCTATCTGCTCTTTTACAGAATATGAAGTCTGCCTTTTTTCCTCCTTTGTTGTAGGGAAGAAATCTGAAGGGGCCTCCTGTTCTTTTACAGGCCTCATCTTGCCTGTAAGCTTTCCTTTCTGCCCATGTTTTATAGATGCATACACAGCTATTATTGATAGGGCTGCAGAGGTGTCAGCTCTTCTGACCTCTCATCATAATATATTCTGTTTCAACACTGACATTTGAATATTCACATTTTAGCTATTAAACAGCATAAGAGAGTCCTAGATTCAGAAGTCCCACCCAATCACTCAATAGTGCCAAACAGGGGCTGAGCATAACTCTTCAGACTTCCAAGACATTCCTTGCATGATTTTGATACCATTCTCCACAAGCCTGTTTCACTGTTGCTATTCTGGACACTTGTGCTTTTGCTGGCACGTCCTGATCCACTGGGATGCTTTTTAAGAACTCAACGCAAGTGCTTGTAAGGAACACAAGTTTTTAAGGTACAAAGGGTAAGGCACAAGCAAGCATTAAAAGTCTTTGAGAGAAGATACAAGGATCTGAGCATTTCCCCTCTTTAGATGCCTCTGTGTCTCCGCAGAAAGAGCTGAAGCACTAGATGATGCATAGATGACATGTTTCAGCACAAGAGCTGACATCCACAGCCAGCCTCTCAGTGTGAGCTCCTGCCTTCTTACGTGAATGCATTGAGGTATATTCAGCAAGAAGAGATCTTGCTCCTTACTCTGTTATCTTAATGCTCTACCCTGCTTTCTGAGCACACCCATAGACGCTTCTGTTCACGTATTCCTCCTTTTTGCCCCTTCTTTCTGATACACCTTGGGGATTGCTCCCCTATAAACAGATAAAGGAAAGTTGAGGCTTTTAGGACTTTCTAATGGGTTCAAATCCCAAAGTAGCTGTGGTTTTGGTTTTGCCATAGGAAAGGGAAAAACAAGATGACTGAGATTTGCCAAGTGCGAAACACAGCTGCCCAAGTCTTTTAATAGATAGAGGTATTCAGGAAATGCAGGGACTCTAAATAAGAAAGCTGTGACCGTTATGAAATGAGATTAAATAACCCTTACAAAAACAAATGAGAGGAGGAAGAGACTGGGAATTTGAGAGGCTGTGCAGTTTTGCTCCCACCCCTCATCCATCAGGGCTCCTTTTAGTCTCAGCTGCTTAAAACTGAAATCCTTTTCTTTCCTGGACCTTGGTCAAAACTTGCCATGCCTGACAAAACATGAGTTATTCCCGAGCAGCACCGAGCTCCTGCCCTTGGGCACTGTTGATATCCTTTGTATCTGGATTGGTCTTGGCTTCCGTGGGCATAAAATCAGTCTCCTGCCTAATGGGGCTTTGACTGACATGTGCTCATCAGTGTTGATGTCAAGTGGCCATCTCCAACCAGCAGAGAGAATTAAGCAGTGATAATGTCAAAACATACAGAAGACAACAGAGAATCCCTGTTTATTGGTCTTGAACAGCTGGGGTAGATATTTGAGCTGCTGTTTGCTTTCAGTGCAATAGAGCTGCAGTGGGTAGAAATGGTCAGTGACTTGGTTAGTTTGCCACAACTTAGCTTTCCTTCTTGCATGCAATCACAAAAGTGGCTGGTGATGGTTTAGGGTTTTTCTGATGCTCTGCTGCATCACTTATAACTACAGGCCTCTCACAAATGGTTAAGAGATTCCAATGCATTTCTCCTCATTTTGTTCTTAGGAAGGGGAACAATAGTGTTCTTGTTTTACAGATGCAGGACCAGGGCACTTGGGGGAAAAAGGCCCCATCCAATAATATAGTTTGCTTTTGTTTAGTAACCTAAGCTCAAAGATGCTCTTCCCTAAGCTACAGGAGACTGCTACCTTATTATGAAGGCAGCTATTAAGTGCTTCCCAGAGCTTAGCTCCAGAACATCTTGGTGCTATGCTGCTGATCTAGTCAACACCAGCCTAGATTCAGATGTTATTCCAAAAGCTAAACATTTCTTAACCCTCTTTGTAGCAGCTAACGACCTTAGCATCTTGCCTGCTCCCTCAACTCATTCATCCTGCACATCATCTTTCTGCTCAGTGGCCTGCCTTCACAGCAGGAGGGATGTTACCCTATGCCATTCTGAGCCCAGTCATTTAGGCAGGAGGAATCTGGGAGGGGAGTGAACTTGGATCCCCCATTTCATGAGTTTCTGAACACTGGAAAATGCTGCAAGCTCTATGCATCACTTAAAGAAGTGAAGTGCCTCTAGTTCAGAGCAAGTTATGGGTCCTGAGTGAATGGCAGAACCTCTCTGCAGGCCCTAGAGACAAGACGTATGTAAGATTGCTCCTGTGCTCAGCATTCCCCACGGACCAGCTACAGGCAGCTGCATGGAGAACATGCAAAACTGAGGCCATTTGCCATGCTGGGCATTATGGATCCCATTCTGTCACCTCCTTTTTGCATGCTCTCCCACAGAGTCCTGGATTTAAGAGCCATGGGTTCCCTTCTAGGGGTGTAATTGTTGGCTTGCCTTTTGATTTGAGCTTTGTCCCGAAGTAGGCTGGATCTGGAAAAGGAAAGGCTCCAAGAACAAGCTCTGCCAGCTGCTACTTGTCTGTTAAACCTGAAAGAGGCTTCTCCTTCAAGGCAGTTGCTGCTCCTGAAGCCAAGCATTTTCCTTCGCATGGGAAAGCCGTAACTGCCTGCGAGATAGCTTTGATCTGATTTTACAAGGATAAAACTAAGTTTCCCTGTATTCTTGCTCTGCCTCCATTTAGCAGCGAGCCATTCTCTTTTTTGCTCCCCACATTTTTGGAGAGCTGGTTGCTGCTTATTTAGGTTGGCACGGACTAAATATAACCCAGTGTGTGTGTGAAAGAGCACGCACCGGGTCACAGCACCAAGAGCGGCAGCAGCAAGAAGTGTCCTGCCTTTCCCTGAAGAGCAAGGGGGTTATAGGCAAAATCCAGCTATTCAGAGGCAGCTCAATGAAACACATACAACCTGAACAAAAAGTAAGTATTCCATTCAACTTGTGAATGCTTCGGAAACACAGGTTTTTTTCTTGCCAGCTTTTACAGTCCACAGCCTCCTCATTCAATCTTGAATAATAGCTCTGAATTGAGCTGTAAAAGCTTCCGAAGTTTGACGGCTTTTGACAAGTTAATTCAACTGTATGGTAAAAAGTTTTTCCCCCAGATAGAAAAAGCCATCATATCATGAATGTAGTAGTCATCCAAGGGAAAGAAAACACCATTAGGATTAGAAATGATGGGCTTTATGGAGATAGTTTGTGGTTTAGTGTAATCTACCTTCAATATTTCAGTAGTGAAATCTTCTCCTCGTCATTCAGTTGGAAGTCAATATCTTCACTTCAAGCCAACACCCAGGGGCTACACTGCATATATTTTTTATTGAAGAAGTAACTTGCTTGTTTGTCAGGGTTTTTTTCCTTACATTTATTTAGGTTTTAATTGGTTTTCACCCTGTGTCACGCAGGATGTTTTCCCCTCCTCAGCTCCCCAGTTGAAAAAGACAGAAGAGAAACATGAATCAATATTTCCTCTAAGGTTCCCACTATAGAGACACGCTTTTCTCCCAGCAGCTGCCAAGGGTGAAAACTAAAGGAAACAAATAATCAGAAAACAATCACTGGTAAACTAAGTGTATCCAACAGTTTTTATAGCCTCAGCTTCGCAAGCATTCTATATTGATGTTATTCTGATTTCTTGTTCAATCCCAGACTGGTTGGGTTGAAGGGACCTTAAAGCTCATCCAGTTCCAACACCCTGCCATGGGCAGGGACACCTTCCACTAGAGCAGGGTGCTCCAAGCCCCTGTGTCCAACCTGGCCTTGAACACTGCCAGGGATGGGGCAGCCACAGCTTCTCTGGGCATCCTGTGCCAGTGCCTCAGCACCCTCACAGGGAAGAGCTTCTGCCTAAGAGCTCATCTCAGTCTCCCCTGTGGCAGGTTAAAGCCATTCCCCTTGTCCTGTCCCTTACAGGCCCTTGTCCAAAGCCCCTCTCCAGGTTTCCTGGAGCCCCTTTAGGCACTGGAGCTGCTCTAATGTCTCCCCAAAGCGCAGCAGAGGGGCAGAATCCCCTCCCTGAGCTGCTGCTCATGCTTTGGGGGTGCAGCCCAACACAAGTGGGGCTCTGGGCTCAAGTGCACACTGAGGATGGGTCATGGGGAGCTTCTCCTCACCCAACATCCCCAACTCCTTCTTCTCAGGGCTGCTCTCAATTATGCTCTCACTTTATGTCTATATTTAAGCCTTAGTATGCCACTAAAATTGACTGAACCAAAATGACAGTTGAGGGGGAAAAGAGATTTCTTTTAAACTCTCAACTCTTCAGCTTAATCGAGAGGGATGATGGCACAGTAAGAACTTTTTGGCAGTGTTTTTTAATGGCTGCAGAACACTTCTCTGTATCACAGAATCCCAGACTGGTTTGGGTTGGAAGGGACCTTAAAGCTCATCCAGTTCTAACCCCCTGCCACAGACAGGGACACCTTCCACTAGAGCAGGTTGCTCAAGGCCCCATCTGACCATTGCTAAATAAATGGTTTATAAAATCCAGTAAAAATCAGTCAAAACAAATCTTACCAAGGAAATCTGTTTTACAAGGGTATTTATTGTACTTAGGCTAAAAGGACTGCCATAACGCTCCAATCTGTCTTCACCATCAGTCTTCATACCAGCTTTCTCAGTATGTCTGTCTTCTTAGATTCGGTTTTCTAACAGCATCAACATGGCTCTTCCTTACAGCAGCTCAAAGAGGAGAGTGGTTACCCTGCTATCCAGGCTGCACAGGATGGCCATTTCCAGGTGTAATTCAGGGATGGAATATGCTGGAGCTGAGCTACCTGGGTGTGAGTTTCCAGCTCTGTTGCACCAAACCTCCAGCATGGGATGTAAAGCGTTGCCTGGTTTGTGGCTCTTTCATCTACCACCATCAATCCTTGCATTCCACTGGATTTGATGTTACTGAAATAAAGAATATAGTTTGAGAACCAGTACATTTTAAGAAGCATAAATAAGAAGAGGACAGCAAATTTTACACTGTGACCTTTACTATGAACTTCACTTGCTGGCTTTTTCTGCACTCCCCCAAGTGGGCAACAGGGACTTGAGTCTGTCCAAGACAACAGCAATAACTTGTTTGTTAGAGACTGGCTCTTAATGCTTCAGCATTTAAGCTTTTCAGTCCTTGAGTGTTGAAGACTTGATGAAGTGTTGGGTCTGCAGACAAGCTGGAAAAATACCTCCTGCAGACAGGCTTCTTCAGCCTCAACAAGCACTCCAAGAAGTGGAGGAGAACCTCCTTTACAGCTCACATTAAGGCAGACAGGATTGCTCTGCACAGAAGACAGATTTCACATGACAGCAAAAAACGGAGACGTCTCTTTCTGCAAGAGCACAAGATTTTACAGTTCTTTATAAAGATACGAGAAGAAGTTGGAGCTGAAGCAAAATTCACCAGGAAAAAACAGCCCCAAAAGATACGTGGAAGAAAACACAGGAGTGGGGTGATGTAAATTTAACATTCTCTGTTCTATTACAGCTGTGTCTGGAGGGTGGTTGGTTTGTTGGGTTTCTTTTCCATGGCAGAAAAAGAGTATGCTATTGGAAGGATGCGGAACAGATGGGAGTGGGAGCTATAGCAAAGAAGGGTGGCTGGCAAGAGAGGAATTTCAAGGGAGAGCAACGATGGCAACTAACTGATCAGGGAGAAGAAGCGTAAGTAATCACCAGGTAAAAACATCTAGGCTTGCCCCTCTCTAAAGAAGCCAGTGGCACTCAAAGGAGGCTTTTTGGCTGGGCTCTAGAGGGAGATCCTGGTGGCTTTCTTCATACCTTCTTTTTATTGGCCATGGAGGTGGTGGGAGAGGCAGGATTAGAGTGGAAGACTGAAGCAATCCTCTGTTATTGTCACCAGCTCTCTGTGACTAAAGAGGGAAATTAGCTGGAGTGTTGTGAGGGCTGTGATTTCCTGCTTAAGAACATGAAGAGTGGAACCATTCCTGACAAACAAGAAGAAGAGTTGAGGTAAAGCCGAGGTGGAGGTAGGCATGAAGTTCTGGAATTGCATTCTATTTCAGACTTCATGAATTAGCTCTGCCAATTCCTTTTTTATTTATCTTGTTTTGGTTTCTTACTTCAAATGGCTTCTGAGTGAATGTTTCAGCTGCGACAAAGGAAAAGCAGACTGTGCTATGTACAGTTGGGTTTTAGAATATAGGAAGAATACTTGTTCTGGTTAATCTCTGCTCTAATTTACATGAACGATTACAAGGTTTAATTTTCTGTCATTATGCACAGGTTAGCCTAGACTGGATATTAATAGATACACATATTCACACCCACAGCCACTACTACTACATCAATCAAATCCTGAAGAGAAAACTTACACTCCATAGCAACTTTTAGGGCACAATTTTCTTCTCTTGTTTCCTCTCCTTAAGCTACCTCATAAGCTCCTCAGAGCAGCCTTCCAGTATCTGAAGGGGGCCACAAGGATGCTGGAAAGGGACTCTCCATCAGGGACTGCAGCGACAGGACAAGGAGTGATGGGTTCAAACTGAAACGGGGGAGTTTATATTGGATATAAGGAGAAAGTTCTTTACTGTAAGGGTGGTTAGGCACTAGAATGGGTTGCCCAGGGAAGCTGTGAATGCTCCATCCCTGGCAGTGTTCAAGGCCAGGCTGGACAGAGCCTTAGGTGACATGGTTTTGTGTGAGGTGGCCCTGCCCATGGCGGGGGGGTTGGAAGTGGATGATCTTAAGGTTCTTTCCAACCCTAACTATTCTATGATTCTATTTTAGCAATGCAGAAAACATTGGAGGTAACTGTTGTAGCCAGGCAAGTAGCCTTTGGAGTTTGTAGCCAAGAGAATGGGTCTGCAGTACAACATCCAACCCTTCATGTTGAGGGCATGGGTGACATCAAAGGTACCTCTGGGCTCCATTAGTTTAGAAGCTGCAATAGGCAACAAGATGTTGGTTGTAACCCACGCTGGTTACCAAACCATCTCCCAGCTGTACCAGAAATGGGGAGCCACAAGAGAGGGCAGGCAGCCTTTGCAAATAGTACCTTGTCTGCTCCACAGGCTGCATTAGTGACTTCTACTCCTAAAGCACTCCCATCTCTTGACAAAAATAACTGGAGATTATTTATACACACACATGAGAGCACACAAAGTGGCCTTGAATAAAGACAGAACAACCATGGGAGGAAACCTAAAACCTCACCAACCGAAGAAGAACAAACAAACAAGCTCACAAGCCAGTATAAGCTAAATATGAAACAAAAAGGGCTTCAGCTTTATGAAGAAGTGGTGCTCTTCATGCCAGCAGTGCTCTTAGGTGCATGTTGGACTTGATGGTCTTCAAGGTCTTTTCCAACCTAGTTGGTTCTATGAAGACTTCAGGCCTTCTGCATGCTCAAGCTTAGAATAAGCAAAATGTAATGGTTGTAAGCTGTCAGTAATAAATGAATCTCTTAAAGAGTGGAAACCTGAAGTTAATAGGATGCTATTGCTGGTGGAACTGTCAAGAGTAACCGTGACCTCTGCCAAGATGTTGTTCAGAGCATGGGAAAGTGAGCAACTGGAGGGGTCAGATTAATATGGCAAGGAGTTTGAGATGGGTGGCCCTTTCAAATGGAAATGTAGTTGTAAACATCTCACAGTAAAGAAAAAAGGTGTTTCTATGTTACTATGTCTATGTAAATTTTGAGGGAGGGCCAAAGTTGTAAGCAATTCCCTTCTGATTCCAGAATGTATGGAAATCCAGATGGCTGAGCTACAGGAGTTCATTTTTCTTTAAGGCAAATCTGGATGTTTAAAAACAACTTACCAAGAGTCAATAAATCAAAAGCAGCAGAAGTGTGCTGGGATGGCTGCCTACAAATAGGAATGTTGTGTTTCAGACTGTGTTACTCCATGGTGTTAAGGAGCTCTATGAAAGCTAAGTGGGAGTCCCCCTTAGTGTACTGAATGGGCTACGAGTAGGCACAGTGATTGGTACAAGAGTGAGAGCAGACCACTGTGTCCCCAGGGCTCATACCATGAACTGCTTTAACTGTGTAAGCCAATGGCTCCACCTATGTGAAGTACAAGAACCCTCTGCAAGCTCTACCTGGATAGCAGAGGTTTGAAGGCTGCGTAGATGGCATTAACTCAGAATGGAACTGGACACAGCAGGGGTCACCTTCTTTCTAGGACCACCATGGTGGCTTGCCTTCAACAAAAAGTTGAAAGCCATCATAAAAAAGGGAGTAATAATATTTGATGTTATGACATTTGAGACTTAGACTTCCTTTCGCCATTGGCAATGTCTTCAAAGAAGCCCGAGATGGTATCTACTGCATCTTGGGCAGGATGTTCCCAGCAGAGCATGCCTCACAGGTGTCCCCTGGCTAAGTTTTCTCACACCAGCTAATAGAGATCCCAAAATATTTTGCTTCCCATAATATGGAATGTTAAAGCTGGAAAGTAGCTTTTTACAAGGGAAAAGAGTGATTGGACAAGGGGAATGGCTTTAACCTGCCAGAGGGGAGATTGAGATGAGCTCTTAGGCAGAAGCTCTTCCCTGTGAGGGTGTTGAGGTGCTGGCACAGGGCGCCCAGAGAAGCTGTGGCTGCC